TTCTCATTATGTGTCTTTTTTTTTTTTTTTCCCTCTAATTTGCTACAGGGCCCGTGCACTTGTCAGAAAGAGATGCGACAAGAGGTAGTGAGAAGCACCATTCTTCTCTCTGGATTTGGGGCATGCACACATATGTGCCCTGTGTGTTTTTCAAGCAGCTGGGTCCAGGACTCAAAATGCACAGTCGGCCATGTGGGATCCAGCTGCCTAAACTCCACGCTACTTGCCGGCCCCTCATCATGAGTCTTATACAATTACATGCCATTTCATTTCCTGTCCTTGGACAGCCTTGTCCTCTCATATGTCCCCTTTGGAATATCCCACTATAACACATCAGCATATTTCTTTGAAAGGATCCACCCTCTTTAGAAGTCACTGTAAATAAAAATAAAAACACAGAAGGCATCAGCAGGTAGGACAGTGGTTAAGGTGCTGGACTCCCACATGGCTGACTGTTGTTCAAGCTCCAGACCCAGTGGCCTGAAAAGCACACCAGACATGTGTGTGTGCCCAAAATCCCAAGAGGAGACTGAAGGAGAAGGATTGCAATGTGGCCTTCCCCCCAGGGGGCGATTTCTCCCCTTCCATCTCTCCATCTCTCTCTGACTCTCCCCAGCGAGGGCACCTGCCCTGAGGCAAAAACCTATAAGAAAGAAATAATTGAAAGTACAATTATGAGGTACAGTTTTATTTTATTTTATTTTACAATCTGAACAGTATCATATAACCAGTGTCCAAGTCAGAGAAATCTCTCCTTTTTTTTTTTTTTTTTTTTGAGAGATTTTCACTATAGGGCGCGTGCGCTCGCCAGACAGACAGAGAAAGACATAGAGACAGAAAGCGAGAAATCACCCCCCAGGGGGGATGGTCACGCTGCAATCCCTTCTCCTCCATTCTCCTCTCGGGATCTTGGGCATGCACACACACGCGCCGGCGTGAGTTTAAGCCACCGGGTCCGGGACTCGAACCGCGGTCGACTATGTGGGAGTCCAGCTAACCGCTGGTTCCTGAGAAATCTCTCCTTTGTCCCCTCCAGTTACAGTGCTCCCAAAGGGAACCACTCGTCTGACTTAGCAGCCTAGAATGGTTCTGCCTGTTCTAGAACTTCCTATCTAGAATCACACAATGCAGTCTTTAGAGTATGGCTTTTTTCATTTAGTAAATGCTTAAGATTCCTTTCTGCAGTGCACGTGTATCCATAGTTCCTTTCTTTTACTGCTAGATAGTACCCACTGTGTGCGGGTATCACAATGTTCTTGTCTCGTCTACCACGGAGGCGCATGTGGGTGGTTTCCAGTTTGGAGCTACTATATATTACGTTCACAGTATTTGGTACACAGAAGTGGGGATTTCCCAGGGACAATGGTTGGGTCATAGGGTAACCATGTGTTCAGGTTTAGGAGATTCTGGTATTGTTTTTTTTTTTTTTTAACTTTTTTTTTTTTTCCTATAGGGTTTGTATGCTGGCTGGAGAGAGATGCAGAAGTGAGAAAGAGAAAATGAGAAAGGACCCCCCTAGGGGTGGTGGCCATGTTGCAGTCCCTTCTTCTTCGTTGTCCTCTCAGGATTTTGGGCATGCACGCAATCACGCCTAGTGTGTTTTGGAAGCCACTGGGTCTGAGTCTCAAAACGCGAGGTGAGGTCAGCCATGTGGGATCAGGTGCCTTCACCATCATGCCACAGTTGGTCCAATATTGTCATCTTTTTAAAAAAAGAATTATTTTATTGGGGCCAGCAGATGGCATGGTAGTTAAGGGCACTGGACTTCCACATGGCCAACCGTGGTTCAAGTCCCGGATCTGACGGTTTGCTTTCTCTCTCTCTCTCTCTTCACACACACACTCGGTCCCTCTCTGGTCGAATTTAAAAATAAATAAATTAATAACTAAAGTTGAATAAAAAATTATTTAAATTTGACTGGAGAGAGGCAAAAAGACAGAGGCAAAGTGAGAAAGCAAGCCACCAGGTCCAGGACTCAAACTGTGGTCAGCCACGTGGGAGTCCAGCACCCTTAACCACCAAGCCACCTGCTGGCTCTAGTATTGTCATTTGTTAATGAAGTAATTACCACTTCAACATTTGTTGGTTTTGGTTTTGTTTTGTTTTGTTTTGTTTTTGAGAACTTTCTGCTATAGGGCATGTGTGCTCACCAGAAAGACACAGAGAGACAGAAAGTAAGAAATCACCCCCCAGGGGGGATGGCCACGCCACAATCCCTTCTCCTCCATTCTCCTCTCGGGATCTTGGGCACGCACACACACACGCCCGGTGTGAGTTTAAGCCACCAGGTCCAGGACTCGAACTGCAGTTGACTACATGGCAGTTCAGCGATGTAGCCATTATGCCGACTGCTGGCCCGAACATTTGTTCGTTTGAAGACTGACTTTATATAACAGTAAAATATACTGAAAATTCAAGTTTGACATCAAAGTGCAGTGGCTTTATACAAAATGGATCTTTTTTATGACGGGTGGCAGATTAATGCCTCACTGATGACAACACTTTGCTTTTATTAGATACTTTGTGTAACTTAAAAATACAAACAGCTACAACTATTTGAAAATAAAACTATTTGGGGCCAGCTGGTGACATGGTGGCTAGGGTGGCTGGATCCCATTTGGCTAACTGCACTCTTCAAGGCCTGGACTTAGTGACTTGAAAAACATACCAGGTGCATGTGCATGTGTGCTCAAAATCCCAAGAGGAGAATTAGAAGGGACTGCAATGTGGCCATCACCACCCACCCCCCCTCAGGCAAGCACATGAGACCCATAGCAATTAAAAAAATAAAAAGAAAAAAATATTTCAAAATATTGATATGGTCCTATTGCTTTGCAAATTATTTAAGGTAAGATTTATACAATGTACTTAACAGTTCTTATACATTATTATTTAAAATTTTATTAGCCTTTTAGTCTTTAATGTAAATGTGAATCAAAAGAGAAATTATTGGGACCAGCAGTTAGTGTAATGGCTATGTTGCTGGACTCCCACGTAGTCGACTGCAGTTTGCGTCCCAGACCCGGTGGCTTAAAACTCACGCCGGGCACATGTGCGTGCGTGCCCAAGATCCCGAGAGGAGAATGGAGGAGAAGGGATTGTGGCGTGGCCATCCCCCCCTGGGGGGTGATTTCTTGCTTTCTGTCTCTATGTCTCTCTCTGTCTGTCTGGCGAGCGCACACGCCCTCTAGCGAAAACCTCTCCAAAAAAAAAAAGAAATTATTTTCAATCTAAAATCCATTGGCTAAAATGAAATTATTCAGGGACCAGCAGATGGCATAATGGTTACATCACTGGACTCCCATGTAGTCAACTGCAGTTCCTGTCCTGGAACAGGTGGCTTAAAGCTCACGCCAGGCATGTGTGTGTGCATGCCCAAAATCCCAAGAGGAGAATGAAGAAGAAGGGATTGCTGCATGGCCATCCCCCCACCCCCCAAGGGTGATTTCTCACTTTCTGTTTCTCTGTTTCTCTGGCAAGCCCACATGTCTTGTAGCAAAATCTCTCTTAAGCCTCTGGGTCCAGAACTTGAACCACACCCTTCGGCCATGTAAGATCCAACTGTCTTAATCACCAGGCCACAGGCTGGCCCTAACAATGGGCTTTTTTGTGTGTGTGTGTGAGGTTTTTTTGGTTTTTTTTTTTTTTGCTATAGGGCACGTGTGCTCGCCAGAAAGACAGAGAGACAGAGAGACAGAAAGCGAGATATCACCCTCCAGCGAGGATGGCGCAATCCCTTCTCCTCCATTCTTCTCCTCTTGGGATCTTGGGCATGCACGCACACGCGCCCGACGTGAGTTCAAGCCACCGGGTCTGGGACTCGAACTGCGGTCAAGTACATGGGAGTCCAGTGATGTAGCTAATATGCTAACTGCTGATCCCGACAATGGGTTTTTAAGTGCTGTTAGTTTGCCCAGTTTGCATGCACTGGGGAAGCCAGGGCTCCAAAAGAAAACACAGTAAACATCCAGCCCCTCTGGGTTGAGAAGTTCTAGTAGGTCTAGGAGTCCCAGGAAACCATTGACACCTGCAGAATCCAGCCTGTGCCACCAGGGGGCACCATCAGAGAGAACCTGGACCTCTCAGGAGGGCAGCTGGCAAGGCGTCCTCTCAGCACGCATCCTGCGCAGACAGCCCCTCGGCTCCCACGGGCACCTGTGAAAGAGGTCCGATGGTACTCATTTTACACATGGGCAAACATACACGCCAAGTCGCCCATCACAGAGAAAGTGGAACCAGGACTTGAACTGGGTCTCTGATTCTGCAGCCTGAAGTACTGTCTACCTGTGGCTTCATCCGTGTGTATGTTGGGGATGGGCGAATCCTTCCATCAGGCCCAAGCAGGGTGCCCCGTCCCATTTTCTAGCACACACTCAGCTCCCTCATTCTCGAACTTTCATCTCCTCCAGCCCCTCACACTCCCAGCTCCTATGCTGTCCTCTCCCCTCAACCCATGCAAAGACCACCCTGAGCCTCCCTTCCACCTGACCTGCCCCCTCCTCTCCCCACCGCCCTGCCTTGGTCCCACCCTGTCCTCGCCTGCATGCTGGGGTCCCTGCCTGGGTCTCCTCTGGGGTCCTGGCCTTGGAGAGGTGGCATCACCTGCCGTAGGTCACACTCCACAGAGGCGGGGCTGCCCACAGAGGCGGTTCTGCGATGCAGGATTCACATGCAGGACCTGCCAGGATCTTGCTCCTGCTCCCAGGAAGGCCCTTGTCCTAGGGAGAGAACAGGAGGCACACTCTCTCCCCCAGCCCATACCCCGCCCCCACCAGCTTGGGAACCAGAGGCCACGGGCACTTTGCCCTCCCCATCAGGCCAGACGTAGCACAATCTGGAATTTCAGGTCTATAAATCATTGAGTGGCAGGGAGCTCAAAAAAGCTACTCTCCCATCCTGGTCTGCCTGCTTGGCCTCTTGGCCCCTCCTCCGGACCCCCTCCTCCTTCCTTGGAGACTCGCTCAAGGAGGGGCCTGGGCGTATATAGGGAGCCACTGTGGAAGGGGCTGGCCAAGGAGGCTTTGTGCAGAGAAGGTGAGGAGAGGGCTCTGGGAGTATGGATGGGAGGTGGGGGACTGGCCACTGGCCACTGACTGCCCTGCCTGAGCTTAGGTTTCCTCTTCTGGAAGGTGTCCCCACCAGGGATGCAGAAGGCTGGGCACATCAGTACCAACCCGGGCCCAGTACAGAGTGAGAGCAACCATGGCAGTAGGGTGTGGAGTGGAGGTGGGGGGTCTGGGGGGGCCCTCCCTTTCTGCTGACCTCTGCCTGGCCTGACCTCTGCTCGTGTGTCCCAGGCAGGACCATGGCTTCTGCAGCAGCAGAGGAGGAGAAGGGGTCTCCAGTTGTGGTGGGGCTCCTGGTCGTGGGCAACATCATTATTCTGGTGAGACATGCCTCTGGGCTGGGGAGTCAATCGGTCTGTGGTGGGGACAGGGCAGTCTGGGGCCTGGGGGTGGGAGCCAAGGGTCTAGAGCTCCCACCCAGGCCAGTGCTGCGAACTCTCAAGTCAGGTGTGACCTTAAGCAAGCAATTTTACTTCCTTATATGTGTGTAGGGGGCTTCCTTTTCCTCACCTGTAGATCATGTTCTCGCTGTGCAGATTGTTTTGTAGATTAAACATAGCTTATCAGGGACCAGCAGTTAGTGTAATGGCTATGTCGCTGGACTCCCATGTAGTCGACTGCGGTTTGAGTCTCGGACCCGGTGGCTTAAACTCACGCCGGGGGTGTGGTCGTGCATGCCCAAGATCCCTACAGGAGAATGGAGGAGAAGGGATTGTGGTGTGGCCATCCCCCCTTAGGGGTGATTTCTTGCTTACTGTCTCTCTGTCTGTCTCTCTCTGTCTTTCTGGCGAGCGCATGCGCCCTATAGTGAAAACCTCTCAAAAAAAAAAAAAAAAACATAGCTTGGCATACAAGAGGCCCATAAGAATGAATAACAAATTACTGTCAGTTGTTTTTTTTAATTTATCTTTTTAAAAATATAATTAAAATACTAATTTTTGACCAGGAAGAGACAGAGAGAGAGAGAGACAGAAAGTGAGAAAGCAAGCCACCAGGTCTGGGACTTGAACCATGGCTGGCCATATGGGAGTCTAGGGCCCACACGCCACCTACCGGCCCCTTGTTTTTTCTTAATAAGTGATGTTTGCATATGGCTCTAGAGTCAGGCAGCCTGGGTTCAAATCCAAGTTCTAGTTGGGGGACCCGGAACCAGGAATATAACCTCTGGATCTCGGTTTTTCATCCCTAAGATGGAGATAAAATAGGATTAATGTGCTTAAAGTAGACTGTGGCCCACTAGGCTGGAACAGTATTGGTAACAATAGCAATGATTGGGACCAGCAGTTGGCGTAATGTCTACATTGCTGGATTCCCATACAGTTAACCGCAGTTCAAGTCCTGGACTCAGTGGCTTAAACTCATGCCGGGCGCGTGTGCATGCGTGCCCAAGATCCCGAGAGGAGAATGGAGGAGAAGGGATTGCAGTGTGGCCATCCCCCTGGGGCGGGGGGGTGGTGGTTTCTCGCTGTCTCTCTGTCACTCTCTTTCTGGCGAGTGCACACGCCTTATAGAAAAAAAAACCTCTCAAAAAAAAAAGCAAGAGCAACAATCGTACATAAAGCAGTTACTCGGACCAGTACCTGTCACTTACACCAAGTACTGTCAGTGTTGGCTTTTGTCCTCTGTTCTGCTCTTGTCTCCTTGGTTCCAAGCCCCACCCTATAGGTAACCAGATTTTTAGTCTCTCCAATATTTCTGTAAGCAAATAGGAGCTTTTATGCCCTCACTCTCCCCTTTCTTGTCACCATGTGGCTCGTTCCGTATCTTGCCCTGCGCCTTTCATCCTCTCCTGCCCACAGCCTGTAGGCCCCTCCACGTGAGTCCTCCGAGAGCCCCCTCCCCTTTTCCCAAGTGCATAGTGCTCCACTGCGGGGCAGCCATTGTCCACACTGCTGCAGGGAATGGCCTTGTGGATCTGTGGGTTTCCTGCATGGGCAGATGTATCTGTAGGACTGATTCCTGGAGGTGGGATTGCTGGGCCAAAGGATGAATGCGTTTGTCATTTCTGTGGCCACAGCCATGCATTCCCCTCCTTGGGGGATACGATTAAGGGCGGCAGGGTGAGTGGGCATGTCCTCCCAGCCTGTCATGCACTCCAGGCACTGCACTGACGTCCCCTCGGATCCTTGAAGCAAGAGCAGCTGGGGGGTTGGGGTCAGTGGCTAGCTGGGATCTCGTGTCCCTCCTGGCCCAGCCTCACCCCTGCACGTGGAGGGCAAGGTCTTCGCCCCTCTTGCTTCGTGCTTCCTTCTCGAGAGGGCTGTGGAGGCTCAGAGTGGTGGAAGAACTCGTGGGGCCCGAGCTACCGGCCTGAGCACACCTTCCCAACGCTGCCCCGTCCAGCTGTCAGGCCTGGCCCTGTTTGCCGAGACTGTATGGGTGACAGCCGACCAGTATCGCGTGTACCCACTGATGGGCATCTCAGGCAAAGATGACGTCTTCGCTGGCGCCTGGATCGCCATCTTCTGCGGCTTCTCCTTCTTCGTGGTGGCCAGCTTTGGAGTGGGCGCAACACTCTGCCGCCGCCGGTCCATGATCCTTACGGTGAGGTCCCAGTAGTGGGGTACATGGGGAAGATCGGTCACGGAGATCCTCACACAGAGCCACAGAAACAGCCACCACAGCCGCGGGTGTCAGTTCCACACAGCGCCGCACTCGGGGACCCACGGGCATCATTTCATTCGATCTTCCCAAAGCGTAATAACCTAAGCGCAGCGGTTCCTCCCACTTTGCAAGGAAGACTGGGGCCCAGGAAGGGAGGGACACTTCGCACAGCAGGACAGCTCGCGAGCAGCATAGCTAGTTCGTTTCCAGAGTCTGCTCAGGAGCAGCACCCATAATAGCAATGAAAATAATAGCACATTTAACGAGTGTTCACTACAAGGGACTTCAACAAGTTCACAAAAATATAATTAAAGCATGAGTTCGTTTTGGTGCAAAAAAAAAAATTTGGGGGGGGGAGAGGTTTTTGCTGTAGGGCACGTGCGCTCGCCAGACAGATAGAGAGAGACAGAGAGACAGAAAGCGAGAAATCACCCCCCAGGGGGATGGCCATGCCACAATCTCTTCTCCTCTTGGGATCTTGGGCATGCACGCACATGCGCCCAGCATGAGTTTTAAGCCACCGGGTCCAGGACGCGAACCGCGGTAGACTACATGGGAGTCCAGCGCCATAGCCATTACACTAACTGCTGGTCCCCCAACATTTTGAAATCCATGCAGGTTTTTTTTTTTTCATAATATTGGGTTGTCTGAAAAATAGTAACACATCTTTGCATAGAAAAACGATGTCATGAGTTTTCCGACCACACACTGTTTATTTCCATGAACTTTTGGAAGACTCCGGTACATGGTTCACATAGATTAGCTCATTTTTCCCTCACAGCCCATCATGAGATATTGTCATTGTCCTCACCACCACCCTCATCATCATCATGACCCCATAGGGTCATGACAAAGATCGAAACCGACACTTGGAGAGGTGAAGTGCTTTACCCGGGGTCACACAGCAAGCTGGTGGCCAAGCCAGTTCAGCCTGAGCTCTTAATCTCTGTCAACAACAATAACCCTTATTCTTCCCAAGTCCCTCTCACGTGCTGACACGAGGTAAGCCTTTGAGCAAATGAGCTGCCCGGACCCTCCAGGAAGCCCTGTGAAGTTAATGTTTTTTTAGCTGTTTGCCATGGGGAGTGGGCACTTGCCAGAGAGAGAGAACGAAAGTGAGAAAGCACCTCCTGGGGGTCAAGGGGATGGCCACACCACAATCCCCTCTCCATTTTCCTCTTGGGATTTTGGGCATGCACACACACACATGTGCCCAGTGTGATTTTCAAGCTGCTGGAACTCAAACTATAGTTGGCCGTTTGGGAAACCAGCACCCCAACCACTACACAAAATTAATGTTTTGTTTAAGTTTTTTTTTTTCAATTTTTTTTTAGAAGTTTTTCTATTTTATTGCCACCACAGCCGCGGGTGTCAGTTCCACACAGCGCCGCACTCGGGGACCCACGGGCATCATTTCATTCGATCTTCCCAAAGCGTAATAACCTAAGCGCAGCGGTTCCTCCCACTTTGCAAGGAAGACTGGGGCCCAGGAAGGGAGGGACACTTCGCACAGCAGGACAGCTCGCGAGCAGCATAGCTAGTTCGTTTCCAGAGTCTGCTCAGGAGCAGCACCCATAATAGCAATGAAAATAATAGCACATTTAACGAGTGTTCACTACAAGGGACTTCAACAAGTTCACAAAAATATAATTAAAGCATGAGTTCGTTTTGGTGCAAAAAAAAAAA